ATTCGAAGTATAATCACCGAGGTACTAATTCAAAAAAAAAAAAGAAATAATGATTTGTATTATATTAGCATAAGTAAATGTTTCTATAAAAGTATTGAATAGATTTTTAAAGCGTATCTATAAACATTGTTAGCATATATATAATTTTGAACAGATCTATTGAGAATATTACAAGCGTATCCATACTTCCCATATTTATATCAACATGAACTACTTAATATAGCGTACTACTGTATTCGAAAGTTAAATTCTGGGAAAAGACAATTAATATTCTAGTCATGTATTATAGACGAAGTATGTGTATTTTCACTTGTAAAAATCATTGAATATTAGACCGTGTTATATAAATATATGCTCTAAAATGATATAAAATCAATAAATTTACCTTAAAAATTATCTAATAAAATTTGAACCTCCTTCGTAAATAAATTTGTTTCATTTGTATTCATATATCTCGATTCCAGTGTAATCTAAAAACAACTCACTAAAAAAAAAAAAAAAAAATAAGAATTAACAACAAGTAGATAAAGTAAAAACTCATTTATATTTCTGTATTTGTAAGATTCTTACCTTAAATTTAGTCATCAACTTATAATTACGGACCAAATGGTTAAAATTCGAGAGGCGCCAGCTCAGTCTAAGCTCAAAGACGCAATTTCTCAATTAAATCGAGAGTTACAGCGTCTTGAAGTATTAGAAAATATAGGAATGATCTCTGATGTTGATAAAGAAAAAAAAACAAGTATTCAAAGTGAACTCGCATCATCACTAAAAGCTTTGAATAAATTAGAATACCACCAACGGTCTCAACAGAAGTATAGATCTCAGAAAAGGCAGAAGCTTCAGCAGATGGAAAAGCAGCTTAAAGAAGCAGGTTTCGATACGCAGCTTGTTAGGCCAACAGTTGGTCGTCCAAGTTTAGAAGAAGCACAGCCAGGTTTATTGGAAGCTATTGTTCAAATTGTTTCTTCAGATGGACAGGCTGATGAAAGACGGCGTTCAGAATTAATACGATCCGTCAAGACCTTAGACCAGCTCCAAGAAGCATTAACAAATATGAACTATAAATTGTCACGCTCTGCGACATATCTTAGGCTAATTCCAAGACGGCATAATAGTGAAGAAGGAAAGCGACACGTTAAAACGGTGCCAGTGAAGCTTCTAAGGTCACAAAATTCAGCAAGAAGAAGCCATGATGATACCCATTTCTGCGCTGCTTTAATAAGAAATATAAAAGAAATGGTGTCATTATTGGGTCCCAAAAGTGCTTTAGTAATATCTCAAGATGATAAAGCACGAATACCTCTCGGTTTAGCCGTGGCCAACAAACAAGGTTACTATAATTTAAAATAAAATAGAATTACTATTTAAAATATAATAAATAAAAAGATAAAACTTACTAATAATAATTAATTAATTCATATAGCACCGATTCTTATGAAGTTGGAATACCGAGTAGAACTGCCGGATCATGATTGGGTTGTTGCTGAAAGGCATAAACTGATCCCTTCAGTTTATGCAGTATTAGACGTACAAGAAGGTAAATATGGACAAGCTGAAGCAGTAACATATTCAGGTCCAACGTTCATAAGAATTCGTAGCGGTAAACATGATAGTAGTACCGCTTACTCTCATGGCAAAGACTTCGATGACCTGATGGTTGAGGAGAAATTAAACAACTTTACTACGACGGACGGCCAGCCTAAACCCGTGGTGGTAATGATAAGTGATGGTGGACCCGACGAGAATCCACGCTATAGAAAAACAGTTCAGATGATGGTAGATCACTTTACTAAGTATGACCTTGATACCATCATTGTGGCATGCTTTGCACCACACCAGAGTGCATCCAATCCAGTAGAAAGACGAATGGCGCCTTTAAGCCATGACTTAGCTGGCATAATCCTCCCACATGATACCTTTGGATCACATTTGGATGCACAGTTAAAGACAAGTGACGAGGAATTGGAAAAGCGCAATTTCAAAGCGGCCGGAGGTGTTTTGACATCAGTGTGGGAGGATACAATTATCGATGGTTATCCGGTTCTTGTTAAGTATGTAGATCCTTCCGAAGAATCCTACTGCCCAAATGAAAAATCAGCTGCTTGGATGGAAAAACATGTAATGACTTGTCGTTATATGACTCAAGTCATAAAGTGTGATGATCCAAGCTGCTGTAAACCTTTTCACAGTGGAATCAAACAGGTCCTTCCAAATCGCTTTTTCCCACCACCACTTCTGCTCCAACAGAAGCTTCATAGTATTTGCATAGCAAGCATGGGCATATCCAATAATACAACTCACTTTGGCAGCTTTCTTCTCTCCGTATTAATGGAAAGAAAGTTAACTCCTCCAGACGCAAATCTACAGTATTTCCCCTTCGATTGGTATTGCCCAACCGTCAATAAATCAATTAATGAGTATCTCTGCTCCTATTGTAATCGATACTATGCTTTAAAAGGAGCTTTGAAAATCCATACTAGAAAATGTAAAAAATCCAACTTATCTAAAGAGCCTGTTTTGGATATTCAAGATTACGAAGGTAGTGAAACTATGCAGGTGGATGAAGAAGCGGTACCGGAAGATTTGTTTGAAACCTATCCTCATCAAGTGCAAGTTCAAGAAAAGTTGATTGCAGATAGAGTATTAATAGTTGACTGGGATACTTGGAAGCAATGCGAATGGGCAAATGAATAATTAATTACGTACGTACGTACGAGGTTAATGCGTAACATTGTAACATTGTTCCTGTTACATTAAACTCAGATATTTCTGTATTTTGACTTTTGTATCACTACGCAATAATTTCTAGAACGACTTTTGTGTTGTATGTGTTATATAATTTTGTGACAAATAATGCAGATCAATTTTTAAAATACTATTTATGTGTGTATGTGATATATAATTCATTTGATGCTTATAATTATATAAGACGTATTTGAAAGTTATGTAAAATAGAAAACAATAATATTTGCTATTGGTAAATTATTTTAAATTTTTCACTGAATATCTTGACAATAATTAATTGATGTATGGATCCAGATAGAATTCTAAAAACTACACTATCGAATAAAGCCACGGCATAAAAATATGGTAGTCTCATTATTACCACCCAATCTGATTGTAAAACATATAAACTATCTTCCTTTAATAACCCTATTAAGAATGATGTGTAAATCAGTTTTTCTTTTCACCCCATCAGAGACAGTACCAACGATTCATCGGAATCCGTGTAGCCGAGGGTAAAAAAAAATTCTATATGTGCATTGACAGAGAAATAATCCAGTATAATTATTTCATTTAGTCAGATACTTAAACGGATATCGGATAGATATCCACTTTAAAAAATATCTATCCGGATATTATCTGAATTCAAACTTATTAAATCGGATTATATCCGAATTTTACAACCGGATTTTTTTTTATGAAGGCGCATTAATGATAGTGAGGATTTAAAATTATAACTATGCTACTTTACAACAAACCGGGATTCCTCTTTATTAAATAGAAGTTTTAGTTCTATATATTTTCTGGAACCTACTAAATTATATCAGAGGCACACATTATCATATTAGTCTCGTGTCAGTATGCGTACCACTTCATAATCGATTTATCAATTAATCAGTGATTGGTCGATTAATTAATTAATCGATTAGTTAAGTATCTGGTATCCTTGTATGTATGTGTCGCCAAACTTGGGGTTATGATATTGCGGACTGCTTATGTCGATTTTCTCTACAGGCTATTTACCCGACATCACGCAGATGGCAATTTATTAACAATATAACCTGCAACTAATCAATGCTAACTGTACTTCATGTGATGTCGGGCTAGCTATAATAAACTTTGAATAAATAAGTAAATTTTTAATCGATTAATCGATCAATTAGATTAGTTGGAAATCGATTAATCAATTAGTTGATTAGTTGGTCAATCGATTATAATAATCAATCGATTAGTTGCCAACTCGATCAACTAATCGATTAATCGATTTTCGATTCATATCACTAGTGATTATTAAAGCCTTTAATAATCACGATACTAATTTAGTTTGATGCTCAATTATAAAAGAAAAAGTCATAATTAATTCATTTAATTTAATTATAAATTATGATAATCGGATATCCGAATAATATCCTGATATCCGGATTTTCCTTAAATCGGATCCACCGCTAATTTCATTAGCGTTACCTATCTCCACGCCTCATCTTTATCCTCATCAGCCCCAATTCCATTTTATAGCAATGGCCAAGACCGAAGTTTTCACTAGAATGACCCATCTTGGCAAATTTTTGATAACATTTGAATGCGTATATTCATTCTTGACTTCGGCCACATCTATGGAACAAATCATATAATTAAAAACTATATTATTATTCAAGAATATAATATAAAATAATAGTAACGCACCATTCATCGTCCTTCCTACCCTGCTAACACCACTATACCCGACATTCTGCAGTTGAAAACGTCTTATAGTTAATTTTATAATGATTGAGTAATTTTGCAAAGTCACCCTGTTTTTTTGTTTGAGATATGTTTTTAAGCACAAATAAAAACTCAAAGTCAAAAATGATTCGTAGATTTGGACTTTTCCCAAATTCTGTGTTAAAGAAAAAGAACTCAGACGCGAAGATCACATATTGAACAAATAAAATATATTAATTAATTCTCTTCAAAAATGTAACAGTACCTGATTTGGCGAAATGTCTTTTCTTGCCACATAGCACTTGAAACATAGTAGGTTAACATCCCTAACTATAGGGTAATAAACACACATTTTAACAAGCGACGAATAGAGAAAAAAATTTAACAGATCTTTTATTTGGATAATCAGGATCAAGACGTAAATCATATGATTCAGGCTTTCCTGGTAAAAATCCTATATATTCACGTAATACTGAAAAATAATCGCCTTATTTCCCGCTAGTAAGTATGAAAAGTCATGTACGCTGCATTTAGTACCGTTGACCACTGTATACAGTATCCCATGATTAAGACCTGGGTATATTCACCATTCCTATCGTCCTGTTTCTTGAATAAGACCTGGGGGTATAACTGTATTGATTTACCACTTTTAATATGATATTTCCCCAAATATAGTACCCGGTTCTTCACACAATATCCACGGGTACTATTTAATTTAAAAATGGAGTTCTTGAATAAGACCCCGGGTACTGTATATAGTGACCAACGGTAATACCATGCCGGACATATATGCTATTGTCCACGAAGTGGACAATAACCAAGAATCAATCCACAAAACCTCCTTCGTTTTTCTCTTTCTCTTTCTCTTTTTTTTTTTTTTTTTTAGCCAGCAACTTTTAATAATTCTAATAGTTTAAAATTTTCGTATATAATTAAAAAAAAGTAAAGATATATAATCAAAAAAGAATTATAAAAATAAGCAAGAAATAGTATAGAAGTATAAAAACAAACCGAGGAATAAATATTATTTATAGACGGGGTGAATGTCTAAGCGCTTGGTCTTCTCTACTATCGTTTTCAGATACCCTTTTGCTATTTCCAATAGATTCATCGGCTATTTATTATATATAAAATATACAAATAACTTTGAAAAAATTTGTCTTACACATTTTTAATGATTCTGAAATAGACTTTTTTTTTTGGCGCCCCCAATATATAAAAAAAATTGTTATATGTATTTTTGACCAATCAGAAATTGGTTAAATACAAATTAACTAATTATAGTTGATTACATTTGGCTGTCACATAGTACAAGGTAACGATAACGATAAGATGAACATCTTAATTAATATAATATAGATATAGGTCAAAAAAAAAGCAGCTATATGAAGTTATATCTTCATTCTATAAACTCTCTTCCGAACCAAAAAGATAATAACTTTATTTCATATGAATGCAGAAATAGAATCAAACAAAATACAGTAAGTTAATACTATATACTCAAAAACCATTAATTATAGCCGTTTCAGGAGTTTGTTCTCTTAAAATATTTAATAACACAATTATTTCGGGTGTCCGTTCGTCTTCAGGTGTCTGGTTTTCTTCATCACTTGATATCTCAATTATTTCAGGTATTTTGTCCTCTTCGTCACTTGATAACTCAATTATTTCAGGTACCTGGTCCTCTCTACTATTATTTTCAGGCACCCTTTCTCTATTTACAATAGAATCATTGGTTATTTCAGGTCGCTTTCTTATAAGCTCTAATTCACCATTTCCATAAAATGTATATTGATCATTTATTATGGTATCTACCGGTTCGACTGCTGTTTCTTTATATTGGATATTACTTTCAAACAAAATTACTCCTACTTCTGTATTTTTTGGATTTTTTGCAAAGCCAGACACGGTTCCAAAGAACCATATGGTTGCCATGGACGGTGGCGTGGATTGAGTGGAAAACCATTGGGCCTCACTGGCAATATAGTTATGCTCAGCGTTAACGTATGTCTTATGTTCTTTGGTTTTTTTGTGTGCGACCAAACTATTAAATGAAGCTTCAGATAACTCATCGTTATGATCTAGAAAACTGTGTAAAGAGCATAACTTTTGTTCAATTCCATCTTCTATATTGTAAGTTGGATTGAAAATGCATTTAACTTTGGTTAAACGCCATTTAATATATTTATCTCGATATTGTTTGTTTTTAGTACTTTGGAGAGGTGTCAATTTTATGAAAGCCGAAAATCTAGTACCAGTCTCATCAACATAGACTGGAAAAGAAGTACGAATTTTGTCACTAAAAATATATGTAGTAGGTGGAGAATTTTTTTTTTTGAAATAGGGATTGGATGCTTTTTTTGCTTTTGGGCGTCTAGGTGGCATTTTGACAGGAAAAAAAAGTGTAGATGCATTGACACCAAGAAAAATAGATGCTGTTATATATTTTTCCGAGTTAGTGCTATATTTCACGAAGATGCCTTATTTAATATACAAATGGTCAAATATTGTATGAAGAAGAATGCTTGATGAGTATGTTTTAAGTTCTTATTACTCTAATTTAGAAGGCGTTATTATGTTAATAATGCTAATTTTATTTTTAATAATTTAGCTGTCTTTTCTGAATAGCGTTAAGAGTCTTATTGTATTACATCGTAGAACATATTTTTGATTTTGATAAATCTATTCAATACTGTTATAGAAACATTACTTATGCTAATATAATACAAATCATTATTTCTTTTTTTTTTTTGAATTAGTACCTCGGTGATTATACTTCGAAT